AAAAAGAATATGGAACATTGAGCATTTAAGAAAAAAAAAAGTTTTTTTATCTGTCAATCTGCTCTATCCAGAACTCCTGGAGTGGAATTATTTTAGTTGGACCTGGTTTCCTTTAGTTAAAAAGTCTTCTTTAAAAAAACCTTTGGCTATCTGATTATTAATCAGTTAATCAAAAAAATAAACGTATGAATTCAGTGATAAATAAACTTACCGATTGATGGACAGAATGGATTTGATTGAGCTGAAGATTGCTTCTCTAATGTCCTCCTTTAAGGTTCCTTTGGCTTTAAGGATTTCCACAAAGAACTACAAACAGCAACAAAGCAAAGGAGGGAAAGAACACCAGTTAAAACCGGAGCTGGAACCAACAGGAAGGTTCTCTGAACCATTTGATGGATTTAGATCAGAAATCCATCTTTTATTCAGAGGATCTGCAGCTAACGCTGATCTACCCTCAAAAAAGTTGTTTTTTTTTATTTAACCAGGAAAAAAATACCATTGAGATTAAAAACCAATTTTTCCATGGAGTCGTGGTCAAGAGGCAGCAAAGTTACATAAGAAAGAGAGATACATTAAATGAAATAACATATCAAGTAAAACAATTACAGATCATTGAGGCTGCTTCAAATTCCTTCACTTTCAACTTAAAAGCATTTAATAATAAAAACTCAGTCAACTTCCAGTAGCTAAAGACTTTCTCCCCCAGTTCTGTTCGAGGAGCAACAGCTGATGGTTGGATCTCAGGGCAGAAGGAGCCATACTTTACTGTGGAAGTAAGGTACAAACGTAAAAGGGCAGCAATCCAAGAAGGGCCTTGGAAATAAAGGTGTAGCAATGACACTGCCTTCTGGTAGAGAGGGAAGACCATCCCACCTGAGAGGACAGGTCACAGTGATGTCATGGCTCTATAGTCTGTGATGAACCTCAATGAAGCATGGGAAACAGAGTCCACCATTGGAAGACATGAAGAAGAAACATTGTTAGAAAAAAGGCAGAGTACATGTCAGACTTAATAATATTACTTTAGCGATAGTTTCAAGGTGTTGCTGTACTGTGTCTTTTGGTTGTGCTGTTCTTTTTTCATCTCGTTACAGGTGATGAAGCAGACTGAAAATGTTTTGTCATTGTCTCCTTTCTATCTCTTTCATCTTTTCTCCTTTTTCTTCTGTTTTTCTGCTCTACTTACATTGCAGTGTCCATATAAACTGTAAAACTCCCTGCATAATTATAATAAAGCTATTTATATGCATGAAACAAGTGGAACTACATGGCAATTGCCATACCGCTACACTTGTGAAAGTAAAATCTGTTGGGCACACTGTTAAAAAAAAAAAAAAAGGCAGAGGTGGAAAGAGTACAAAAAAGAGTAAAAGTATCTTTACTTTGCCTAAATTCTACTCAGAGTAAAAGGAAAATTACCCATCTCAAAATTTACTCAAGTAAAAGTACAAAATTACTTCGTTTTAAATGTAATTTGAGTAAAAGTTACTTAGTTACTTTGAGTTATTTAATGCAAAAAAGGATGAGTCGTGAATGGAATTGACCACAAGGTGTTTTAATCGATTTCAAGGCGTATTTCAGTGGAAATCCACACTGCAAAAGATCAGCTGGGCTAAAGAACATACTTCCTCACAGCACAAGGACGGTGCAAATAATTTTATTTATTGTTTTATTATTTTATTTATTTATTTGAATAGGGAC